ATGCTGGTGCCTAATATCATCAAGGTGCTTTGAAACACCGAGCATCCAGGTGACCTCTTGGCATCTGATGGCGTTGCGATAGTAGTCGCTTCCGACAAAAGCTTTCTCTGATTGCCGCGTGGAAAAGTTCAAACACAGAGAAGCTGTTCTTGGACTTTTGAAAAGCCTGAATCACACTCGCCTCTCTCATATCTGCAGACGCTAAACAGTGAGCTAAGCACCTCAGTGGTAGCTATTGTCACAATATCATCTGATTTGAGTTTTGTGTAGTGTTGGAAAGAGGGGTGATCTTTTTTTTTTCAGTGGTAGGGGACGGCTGTCAGCCCTTGGGAGCAGCTTTGGTCACCTTCTTGCCCATCTCTGGTAGCTAATCGCTAGCCCTGTGTGATACTGTCTGTATTTATTGAGATAAAATGTCGGCCTCCTAATTCCATCAGGATAATGTAATCTCCTTGGAAGATGGAGGACACCTGCACTGAGTCATCTGCTGCCTGGTAGGGGAAGGAGAAATGGTACTTCCCACCTTGGCAGGCTACATTCTTCTGATATCAAATTCATTTGCTCTGCATCCCTCACCTCTCCTTCCTTTCCCATGCACTGCCCCAGCGCTTAACGTGCCATACGTAGTCTCTAAACTTAAAAGACAACTCATTTGCCAAGTCTTTTGGCAGCCCAGCTGGGAAGGAGATGGCCTCATCCTTTGTTCCTCTTAGGCAATGTTCCCTCCTTCACTTTCTTCATGCACATGGGGGGCTCTGCATATCATTCCATCTGAGGCTTATGTCAGATTCCTAAAATAGGAAGAAGCCTATCAGTCAGGAGAGAGGGGAAGGACAAGGTCAGAAGACAAGTCAGGGGGTCTAAGTAAAGCTCCTTCTCTGAGCCATCTATGGCACTTTATCTGCTGATGCCAGAAGGAGCCGTGGAAGACCAGCTTTCAACATCAGCATCCTCCCTAGCAACCAGCTGTGGGGCTTTCCACTCACCGAGGATAATTACGATGCTGTACTTGATGGCTTTCACTTTCGCCCTGGATATGAACCCACGACTGGTGTAGCCAGCAGAGGTTTTTCCACCTGAGGGAAGAACAGTTCAGCTAGTAAAAGAACAGGGCTGGTGCACGGAAACATCAGCACGTCCCAGCAGCTGGGATGGCAATGCTTAGCCCGTCCTTCCCTGGTGTCAGGCAAGGGCTCAGGAGCTCCTGAAATTCAGACACTTGCAAACCTGCTCCAGTTGAACACTCAAAACCTGAGCCACCCGAAATCGAAAGGGGAAACGTAAGCAGAAGAGATCTGCCCTAAGCATTGTGGCAGCTGGGGAT